ACCCTTCAAATTTAAGAGAGACAAAGAGTGCATTTTATTTTATAAGCTCGATATTGAAACGCAGAGAATTTTATTTAGAAGTGTAAAGTGTGTGAAAGGACCTAATCAATGTAATTTGTTTGTTTTTGTTTGAATCTTATATAAAATAACTAAATTACTTTTAATGTCAGTAAAATTTTTTGAGGCTCTGTCGTATAAAGTATTGGACCTCGAGCTATTAAAAAACACACCCGCACAAAAACAGTGATAACTCTGTCAAAAATGAAGCTAGATACTTTTTCTAAATTGCATTGAAAAGCTTAATAAATTTCCAATGAAATTACACTATTTACATTGCATAAATAGGAAGCGAGATATGTTATAAACACGGACAAATAATTATATTTTTTTTTGGAATTTCTTACCCTGACTTTGACTTCTGGCAAAATTTAGAAAAACTGATAAAATAAATTGTTACTTTCATTGACTATTTCTTGTAATCTAAGCTTTAAATAGAGACCAAGAACAGCAAAAAATATTAACGGGTTCCCGAGATATTATAAAAACAGTCGGACCGTTCGAAGCAAAATTTTCAATCTTCGATTTCTCTAATTCGCCGTTGAGTCAATTGCGTGGCTGTGAAAAAGGGTTGAAAATGAATTTTACTAAGTACATTCTTACTAGGATCTACTTTTTAAATATCATTATATAATGTAAGGTTCGGTTATTCAAGTCAACCTTATTTTTCAATTACTTTGGATTCACAATAGGTGGTAGCTGCCCCACTTTATTTTTCTAATAGGTCACTGACCTGACGAGTAGGAGTCTCAGTTTGGGACTACCCTTCAACCATTGCGGATGTTCTTATTTTTGGAATAGTATTAAGTGTTCTTTTCTCTTCATCATTTAATTGTTTGTATTATTATATTTAATTGTTATATTTCTTTTTGTTTGCTACACTGTTGCGAGTTTCTGCCTTTCAGTGTTAGTTATTCTTATATTTAATTAACATTTAGTATTCCACATTGTCGTGAGATTCTGCCCTTCAATGTTGGTTAATCTTTACTTTATTTTACATCTAATGTGCCACACTGTCGAGAGATTCTGCCCTTCAGTGTTAGTTATTCTTATATTTATTTAACATTTAGTATGCCACATTATCGTGAGATTCTGCTTTCAGTGTTGGTTAATCTTTATTTTATTTTACATCTAATGTGCCACACTGTTTTTAGATTCTGCCATTTATTGTTGGTTATTCATTTATTTATTACAGTTTACTTATAATACTGTCGTGAGATTCTGCCCTTCAGTGTTATATATTAATCTGCTACTAATTTAGTTAAATGTGTTTAATCAGTCTGAACATTTATTTAGCATTTATTTCTGTTTTGCCACGCTGTCGTGGGACTCTGCTCTTTAGTGTAGAACGAGAATAATGAATTTTAATCTGCTCCCTTCAATTCAGAAGTGGGATTTGCAAGAAAATTTTTTTTTATCAATACCAACGTAGCTTGCTTGGATATATTATTAACTTATTACGCCCTTATTGTTAATATTCCAGATTTTCCTTTTTTTCGCTTTATTTTTGACTTGCTCTTCGAGTCCCTAGGATGACATCCCCACAGCATAACAAGAGGACTTCTGATAAGGAAGTCTACCGTCGTATCACATGGGCACCTAAACGACAGCGTCGACATGGATCCGCTTCCAGCAATACTCCACGTCTTACCAAGGAAACATCGAGTAGGAAATCCAGTCGAAGATCTAAGTCTAGGCGAACTTACCGTAGTGGACGAAATTCTGAAACGAGATCACACAGGAGGTCTTGTCCGAAATCTAGGTCTAGGAGTCCTCACCATGATGAACGAAATTCTACTGGGAAATCGAGAAGGAGATCCAGAAGTCCTTGCACTAAAAATAGGAGATCTTATCGAGATTCACATGAAAATGAAGCTCAAGAAACCAAAGACAACCTTAGGCGTTTGACTAAAGCTATGACCAAATTTGTTGAGGCTATACCACAGAGACATACAGGTCCAAGTTCTAAAGAAGATGCAGTTCCACGGTTTGACCCTGAAGATAAGGAGCAGACGGCAGAAACTTGGTGTTATAAAAAGATGAGTTAAGGTAGATATTTCAATGGGATGATTCCATTACTGTTTATTACGCTCTTATAAAGTTGAGTGGCTTAGCTGAGGTTTGGTATAAAAGTTTACCCACTTTAAAATTTTTTTGGACTGAATGGAAAATCAAAATTAAAAATGCCTGTCCATCAAAACGTAATTTTTACAAAAGTCTCACAGTTATGATGGATCGTAGAAAACAAAAAAAGGAAAACTATACCAAGTATTTTTACGAAAAAATGTCCTTGTTGAATGTCTGTAAGATTACTGGGTCCAATGAAGTATTGCCTGATAGGAAGAATTGAATAGTCACGTCATAAAAATGGTCGCCAAGGCAGGTAATCATCAGACCCCAGAATCACTACTTAAATATATAAGTATTCTTAATGAATCATGTCAACAATCGACTCACAACTCGCAAGATAACGCAGATGGAAAACAGGTGGTCAATGGTCTAAGCGAGAAGGATGGTGGCAGTGGCGATCATGGAGTTTCTCTCGGGTCGGACGATGATGACAGTCACCTCGAGACAAGGTGAAATGTAGGATGGCCGACTGTAGGTTCGGTTATTCAAGTCAACCTTATTTTTCAATTACTTTGGATTCACAATAGGTGGTAGCTGCCCCCACTCTATTTTCTAACGGGTCACTGACCTGACGAGTAGGAGTCTCAGTTTGGGACTACCCTTCAACCATTGCGGATGTTTTTATTTTTGGAATAAATTTTAAGTGTTCTTTTCTCTTTGCATCATTTAATTGTTTGTATTATTATATTTAATTGATATATTTATTTTTGTTTGCTACGCTGTTGCAAGTTTTTGCCCTTCATTGTTAGTTATTCTCATATTTATTTAACATTTAGTATGCCACATTGTCGTGAGATTCTGCCCTTCAATGTTGGTTATACTTTTGTTTAATTAACATGTAATGTGCCGAACTATCGTGAGATTCTGCCCTTCAGTGTTGGTTAATCTTTATTTTATTTTACATCTAATATGCCACACTGTCGAGAGATTTAGCCTTTCAGTGTTGGTTATTCATTTATTTATTACAGTTTACTTATAAGCTTATAACACTGTCGTGAGATTCTGCCCTTCAGTGTTATCGGTCGCACAATTTCCGCCGGTAGTGTAATTAATAATATTTTAAAATAGCTTCTGTAATTGGTTCGAGAAATAAACAAAATTTTTATTTTATTTTTATTTTCACTTGAAGAAAGTAACTACAGAACTGAACCGGTTGAAAAAGGACGCTTTCCTCGTTTTTCCCGCCGTCCCCACCACTCTCCGTCCAACACTTGCGCCGTGCAATCGAAAGTACTCTTGATTTTCACAATGGCCAAGCTTCTTCGCGTTCATAGGCGTAGCTTGAAATCAACGATCCCATAGGTGTAGGATCTAATTCTTTGATCTGAAATGTAATGAAAACATGCGCAGCCCAGCCATATTACATTTTAATATAGCTGTCAGAGAAATAAACATAATTTGTAGCTCAAAAAGTTTTTAGGCTTTTGTTGTCAGGAATATAAATACAATTTGCAGCCCAACAAGTTCTTAGGCTTGTTGTCAAAAATATATACATAATTTGCAGCCCAACAAGTTTTTAAACTTGTAAGGAACATAAACATCCCTGGTAAAAATTTCGGACTAATTCCGGATTAAATACGGACACATTAGTACGTATTAGTATGAAAATTGTACGAAAAAGGTCCGAAAATGATCCGTGCTAGTCTCATATCAATCCGAACGAAAACCTGAATACGAAAACACTCCGGAGTAATCCTGAATATCTACGAATTCAGTCCGCAACAATCCAAATTTATGACCGGTGAAGAATTCTTCTAAAATAAGTACGGAATTATCCGATATCAATATGTAAAGAATACGGAATCAGTCCGCAACAATCCGAGTTTAATCTAGTTAAAAAAACTTAATTCACAAAATTTCCGGAGCAATCCGAACTCTGTAAGCTAGAAATCCGGTGTTAGTTCGCAACAATTTGAAATTAAATGTGGCAAAATCCTATTCCGAAAGAAGTACGAAACAATCCGAAATCTGTATGCTAAGAATCCGAAAATTGTCTGCAACAATCCGGATTTAATCCAACTAAAAGGTATAATCCGAAACAAATATGAAATTATCCGAAATCTGTACACAAATAATTCGACATTAGTCCGCTTCAATTCGGAATTAGTGTGGTAAAATCATATTCCGAAACAAATACGAAACAATCTGAAATATGTATGCTAAGAATCCGGTAATAATCGGCCACACGAATCATATTATATCCCTGCTAAAGATTTCGGACTAATCCGGATTAAATCCGGGTATATTATTATAGATTTGTCCGATAACACAGCCACACAAAAAAAAGTTCTGATCTGGGGGTCTAGTTGGTTCTGAGACAAATATACCATTTCTCTGGGTGTACAGACTAAACCCGGCTAATTACGGATTCAATAGTGATAAAAAACAGTATTGATTTCAAACTTAATTCATGGTGAAAAAACTCCACAATAAACCGTACTGTTGCGGACAAATTCCGGATTAGTCCGAAATCGGTCCTACTTTTTATTCAGGGTATTTACTTATGGTAAATAAAATATTTAATTCTGCAGTCATAATTTGTTTTTACAAATTTACTAGTATTATTAATGATCTTATTTCAATATTAAAATTGACACTGATTATGTGTTAGTTTCTTGTCATTTCTTTTCGTGACACTCTATAAATTCTATTATGAATTTGAACTCCCATGCGAGCGTAGTATAGTGGTTAGTGTATTCGATTTCGGTGCGATATAATGTTAGATAGGTGTAGGTTCGAATCCCCAAGCGTTAGAAATTTTAAGTTAATGTAAATCAAATTGCGATAGGTAAATCGAAAAATATGTTGAATGTACCATAAAGTAATAATAATTAATATGTGTAACTTGTATAATTATTTTTTTATTAACATTCACTAAATTGTCCGGACTAATTTTTGATTGCTTCGGACTAATTCCGGATTCACTAGTTAAAATTAACTGATATTAATTTCAGACTTCATCGGACCAACTCCGGATTCACTAGTTGTTCACAAACCGTACAGAATTCGGATTTTTCCGGATTAATTTCGGGTGACAAAAAGATAGTGCAGCAGCTACAGGTTCTAATAAGGCAAAGAACGTAAATAAGCGCCCCAGAGAAGGGGTGAGCCCGGAAAAGAGTCCTCAACAAGCGGCTCAGAGCGAAAAGAGGATCAAGCGAAAGGATGTTCCACAGCTTGATTCTGAGTTGCTAGTTGGAACAAAAGAGGCGTCCTCAAGGAGTCCTAGCAAGACATATGCTGAGACCGTGTTGAAAGACGGAGCGGACGATGAGGACGGCTTTAAGATTGCTGGAAGGAGAAGGCAACGGGCTCCAAGGAAAAAGCCACCAGGTGAGAAAAAAGAGTTCTCGAAGCCCCCTTCGAAGCTGAGGTCTATGGAAGCTGTGAAGATCACGGCAAGAGACCCAAAATTTTATGAGGGTATCTTGCCGCTGATAAAAGAAAAGGTTAAACCCGAAGATACAGGTACCGTGATCCGGAAAATCAGGAGAACTTTTAAACAGAAGGTTCTCCTAATAGTGAAAAAGGGTGGAGAGACCTTAAAGTTTGCGGAGGCTCTGTCCTTGGCCCTGCATGGCGAGGCTGAGGTCACACCTCTAGTAAATAGGAGGTCTCTAGAGATCAAAGACCTGGATGAAGCCACTACAAAGAGTGAGGTGACTTCAGCATTGAAAGAAAAGCTAGGTAAACCCGACCTGACTATGGAGTGCAGACTATTGCCGCGCTACAGAGGAACTAAGGTTGCTCTTATCCGCTTGGCAGAAGCGGAAAGTAACATTCTGCTTAAGTTTGGCAGAATCAGAGTCGGCTGGATAAATGCTTCAATTCGCGAGCATGTTGAAGTAGCTAGGTGGCAAAAGTGCCTAGCATACGGACACTCAACCCGAACCTGCAAAGGCCCCGACAGAAGCAAAAACTGCCGGAGATGCGGCGGGCAGGGCCATCTCGCGAATAGCTGTGTCGAAAAGCCGAAGTGCTTTACGTGCTTAGACCTGGGAAAACCAGAAACAGATCACGACGCCGGAAAGAGAGCTTACCCGGTTTACAGGGAGGAACTGCAAAGGCTTAAAAGGGCAAATCCTTAAAGTTTTTGCAGGTCAACCTGCATACAAGTAAGGATGCACAGGTGCTCCTGTTGCAAACAGCAATGGAAAATGAGGTCTATATCCTGTTCTGCAGTGAGCAGTATCAAGGAAGCGACCTCGCCCCTTGGTATCAGGATAAGGCGAAGAGAGCTGCTATAAACTGTGCAACCCAGAATTGCGGGTTGACAAGTTTCTGGAGACAAGCAGTGGGTTCGTGTGGATAGTGATGGCTAATATACGTATGTATAGCTGCTACTTCTCACCCAACGACCCACTGACAAACTTCGAAGTCAATATCGAAGACCTAGAAGCGAGCCTCACAGAATCCAGGCTGGATGTCATCATCACTGGCGATTTTAATGCAAAGTCGCCAGAGTGGGGTGAGACGAGACTCGACAAGAGGGGAATTCGTATTGAAGAAATGATTTCCAGAAACGAACTATTAGCTGTAAACCGAGGAAATACATGGACTGTTAGACAAGGTGCGATGGGATCAATTATAGATCTAACAATCGCATCGTCTAAACTTTTTAGCCACATAAGCGACTGGCGGGTCTCCGAGGAATATACCGCAAGTGACCACCAGTACATTGAGTTCTCAGTCTCGATGGAAGACACACGAGGAGGAAAAAGACAGGACGCTCCTAGTCGCAAGACCTTCTCGTGGAATATGAAGAGACTCGACAAGGAAAAGTTCGGCCGGTCCCTAAGAGAAGCCCTTTTAATTGAGGACTTGGGCTGGGTGAAGAGGCTGAGCAGTCTGGATAGGGAGGTTCGAGCGGTGAGGAATATGATAGTCACCGCTTGCAACGCGTCTATGCCACGCAAAGGCGCAATTCCCGTAAGAAAATCCTTGCACTGGTGGTCAGAGGAGCTAGCCTTCTTGAGAAAGGAATGCCTCAAAGCAAGAAGGAAATATACCCGATCTAAGGGAGATCCCTTGCTAAAAGAGGCTTTCAAGGAGGCGAAAAAGGACCTCAAGAAAGAGATCCGCAGGTCGCGACGCCGTAGCTGGAAGGACCTAATCGAGGAAGTCGATAAGGACCAATGGGGTCTAGCTTTTAAAATCGTGACTAAGAAATTAGTGACGAGGCAAAAGACCCCCGGCCTAGACAATCCCGATTGGGTCAGAAAGATAATAAGTTCTTTGTTTCCTCCTGCAGAGCCATACCTTAGAAGGGACTGGAGTTTTTGCAAAGTCGAAGAACTCTTCACACTTAGTGAACTACAAAAAGCAGGCAAAAGATTGAAAACAGGTAAGGCGCCTGGAATCGATGAGATAAGTAACGAGATCCTAAAGTTGGTAATCGACACTTCACCCCAGATTCTGCTTCGCTGCTTCAATCTTTGCCTTAAGAGATGAGAGTTCTTTAGCGACTGGAAGCGACAGAGGTTAGTCCTCCTAAGGAAAGGTGAAAAACCTCTAGATAAGGTTTCATCCTACAGGCCTATATGCCTGTTGGATACTATGGGTAAACTCATAGAGGATATGGTTCTGCAGAGAATGCAAGGCCACTTGACCGGAGAGAATAGTCTATCGGATCACCAATTTGGTTTCCGTAAAGGCAAGTCCACAGTTGATGCCATCCAGGCAGTTGTGGACATAGCCAAAGCAGGAAAAAACAAATGGGACCTGGAAAAAAGAAGAGTTTCTGCGCGTTGGTAGCAATTGACATACGCAACGCGTTTAATTCCGCAAGATGGAAAGATCTCATCGAGTCGATGAAAAAGAAAAACATGCCGCCCTACTTGTTGCGGATAATGGATAATTATCTTAGCGACAGGTGGGTTATATATGAGGGAGACACCTGCACTCTCAGGGAAGAGATGCAGCGTGGGGCTCCTCAAGGTTCGAGGGTCGAGTTTCTGCGAATGGATCTGCCCGAAGGTGCGGTGATCATCGGCTTTGCGGACGACGCGTTGTTCGTGTGCACTGCCGAAAGTGAGGAGGCTCTTAAGACATTGGTGAACGAATGTCTGCGACTAGCAAAAAGCTGGCTGGACACCAGAGGTCTTGAAATGGACCTGGAAAAGACCAAAGCACTGCTGGTCACAGACAGACGTGGTTATGAGCTCCCACGAATTGTGATAGACGGATTCGAGGTCAAGTGGAGTAAGGAAATTAAATATCTTGGTGTGGAGTTGGATGGAAGGTTAAACTTCCACCACCACATGGCTACGGCGTCAAATAAGGCGATCGAGTGTGCGGCTAATCTTTCACGGTTAATGCCAAACATAGGCGGACCCCGTGAACAAAAACGGAGACTGGTGGTGAGTGTCGCCCACGCTAAAATGCTCTATGCAGCACCAGCGTTGGCCCCATCCCTGAGGAGTAAAAGATGTGTGACCATCTGTGAAAGGGTACTGTCGGCGCAGAGATCGATAACAACGCGTATCATCTCTGCATATAAGACGGTATCTATGAGTGCTGTGCAGGTCCTTGCAAGTGTCTTGCCAGAAGATCTTTTGGCGAGGGAAAGGGAAGAAATGTTTCTCTTTTCTAAAGAAAGAAGTTCCTTGGATGAGGAAATAAGACCGAGCAAGGGCCTGATCCGCAAAAAAGCGAGGCACAGGCTCATAGAAAGATGGCAAGAAAGATGGGATGGTGAGGAAAAAGGTCGATGGACTTATCGCCTTATCCCGGCACTCGCCACCTGGATAAATAGGAAACACGGTCAGGTTTTCTATTATATGACACATGCGCTCACAGGTCACGGGTGTTTTAACTCGTACCTGTGTCGCTTTAAATTACGCGAGGACGAGGTGTGTGCATATTGCTAGTTCCCTGAGGACAACGCGGAGCAGACCCTCTTCTCATGCAGAAAATGGGACTTGGAGAGGCGGGCCATGTTCGATGGTGTAAACAGTCACGTTACACCGGAGAACATTAAATCGCTGATGACCCAGTCAGAAGAGAATTGGCGGCAAGTCGAGAACTTCATAATCTCGGTTATGTCGAGGAATGAACTCGACGGCCGCCAAAAAGCGTAATTTAAACAGCTTTTAATTTGTTGGTTTTTTTATTAATTTATTTTGTGATTTATTTGTCCTTATACATTTTTTAATTTGTTTTGTGTTTTTTTTGTTCGTCTTTGTACAGTTTTGTCTTTTCAACGTTATATACGTGTTTACTTTTTTTTCTTTTCTTTTTTACATCCGATTGCGATTTTATCTTTTGACTTTTTACACTTCCTAAAAAAAATTTTTTTTTTTTATTTGTGTTGTGCTGTAAATTCCGCTTAGACTTTGAAATAGTTTTTATCATTTTTTTAACTACGGACGCAGGAAAACCGCAGAGAAAAGAAGAAGGTCGCATTAGCGACAGAGTTGGAGCGCCACCCTCGAAGGCTAAAGTCTTACGACAGTTCCGAGGGAGGATAAAGGGCTCCAGAAGAAGGGTTACGGGTTTTAGTGGGTCGGGCTGGTAGTAGGTCGCCAGTTTATTAAATTTATTATAACATTTATTCATCTTTTTTTTAATATTTCCTTTTGTTTCATTGTACCAACCCCACATAACCTTGGAGTGCGGAATCCAAGGTATCTGTAGGCAGATTTCCCAAAAGTCCCTAAGCAAAAAAAAAAAAAAAAGCAAAAAACAAAGTTACCGCTATTGATTCTGTGATTATAAGCCAAAAACAATACATTTCAAATAAAATTACTTTAAATTGATTATTGCAACTATATTTTTCACTTTTCAGTGAATTTTTGAATGGTGGCCACCTTAAGGCCACTTTTTTCCAAAGTCGTTTAAGTTTTATTTTCCTTAGTAAAATAAAAGAAAAATTAGCTAAGGAAATACAGTTTTAGGGCATATAGTATTAATTATGTTATATAATACCATTTAGGAATTGCAGTCGTTCAAAAAAGGGTCGCCACCTTGGGGCTCCTTACCCTATCTAATCTGCAAATTTGTAAAATTTAACTGAAATATCAGTGAAATTTCGATAATTTAAGTTATGAGCGCAGAATACAGTTTAAAAAGTTAAACTTAAATCATAAGAACAAATCGACTTTTTAAATTTTTTCCGACATATTGGATCCGTCATATTAAATTTTTTAAAATTAATGTTAGATTGGTAATAAGCGACATCAAGAATATTTGAGAAATTAGTTACGGTTCAAAAGCTTTATAATTTTATATTTTTTCTCATTTGGTTTTAAGGCCATGTACGATAAAATTCAACTTACTATAACTCAGCAAAAAAAAATTGGATCAAAATAAAAAAATGTATTCAAAATGTAAAATATAAGTAGTACTTTATTGTCAAATTTGAACCAAAACTCAAAATATTATTTTATTGATTTTTATAGACATTAAATATTGACTGACATGGATAATTTTGATAAATAATTGTATGAAATGATTTTAAATTTTATTTTCAGTAATTTAACATAATAAGCACTTATTGTAATCATTCTCTGTTCTTATTTTATTTGCTTTTGTTCTTCTCTCATTAATCAATGTTTATTGTAAGGTTCTGACAGGGTTTGGAGATTAGTTTTAAATTTGACTTTGCAGTTTACAGTATGTTTTTATTATTCACTTAATTTGACAAATTATTTTTAATTTTCTCTGTTGAATTTTATAGTAAGTGGTCGGTTATTTATTTGTTTTTTATTTTATGTTTTATTTATTTATTTATTCTTTCTACACAAAGACGCATTATTTATTTATAGTATGTTATTTATAATTTTTCTTTATCTTATTACTGTTTTACTTATTACATGTTCTTTCTTTATTTAATTTATTTTTATTGTTTGTTTATTTTATTTGTTTATTAATTTTATTAATTTTTATAATTTTTTGGATTCTTTCAATTTTTGCCTTTTATAGGGTGTAAAAATTTTTTGTTTGTCTTCGTTTGTTTGACTTATTAATTTCTGGTAAGATAATTATTGACATTTTATGTTTTTATTTTATTTTGTTGTTCAATTATTCCTTATAATCAATTTATTAACTTAATTTTGTATAATTTTTGATAGACTCCCTGAAAAAGAAATCATTTCGATTTTAAGACGTTGGAGTAAATAGATTTTAATCATTGTCCTAATTTTTTCTTTCTATTTACCTTATTTTAATAAAAATGTTAATATTTTACTGTAAATTGGTTGCGATAATTCACAAAGCAAAGTATATATTAGATACTACCAGTTTAACCTTCGGAGAACCCATGGTGGTCTTTTTGACCCCACGCTTTTTTACGAAAAGCTTTTTATCTTTTTTAAATATTTTTAATAAGGATTTTCAAGTATACAGACTTACTCTACAGAGTTTAAACTACATTTCAAAAAGTTCTTTAGTTTGATTAGATGAGCAGTTTAAAATTGGTTGAGCTTTGAAAAATGGTCTAAAAAAGAGGTGTGTTCTCCGAGGGTTAAATTATAATTATCATTACATATTCTTAGTATAGGTATTTTTAAGACAATAAAAAAAATTTTATTTTATTTTGTAGAAATCCCTTAATGATGTAAGTGTATTCATAATTGATAAAATTATCATCAAATTCCAAGAAGAGTATTTTAAGCAAACATTACAGTTAAAAAAATTATTTTTAAAAAGTTTACTAATATTTATTTTCGATTATTGAACAGTCTTAAAATTTTTTTTTATCTATTTCAATTATTCCAAAAAGTTTAGCTACTGTTAGAAAATTTGGAAAAAACTTGACCAAAAGTGGGACAGAAATCCAAAGTAAAAACTTAGTAAACGCATTTTCTCTAAAGTCGATGTTTATATAGAATTATAAAGTAAGTCACGACTTAAGAAAGATGAGGTTACGAGGTTTTTGTTCTGAACAGAAAATTGGTCAAATATTGCATATGATATTTGGGTCGGTAAAAAATTTCTCACTGGGTTTCTATAAAACTTTTGAAAATTATTATAATCCGTGTTAACACTTAGGGGTCATTCACAAACTACGTTACGCTTTTTTGGATTAATTTTTACTCACTTCTCCCTTCGTCACATTTTTTAAACACAATTTTTTTCTTCACATTTCGTCACACACAGCTTGACACCCACCCCATTTCTATGAGTGTGACGTAGTTTGTGAACGATTCCATTCACTGATAAGACAATTTGTTTCTTCTTTTTTAGCAATTATCTAAATTCGTAAGTGCAACATAACCAAAAAAATTATAAACTTAATTCTTATTATTTAATAACTTTGCAACGTTTTAACATTCAAAGTAGTGGTGTTAGTAAAAAGTTATGTTTTTATTATTATTTCTATTGTTATCTTATTGTTTTATTTTTTATCAATCATTGGTATTTTAATGTTAATGATCAACATTTTCTTTTATTTTAAATTACAGAGAACTCTAGAAGATGAAGTAAGTGCATTGACAATTATGGGATTTTTTTGTTATTCAATACAGATTAAAGTGTAAATAAATAATGTGCATATTTTTTACATACTTTTTTGTTATGATCTTAAAAATTAACATGTCATTCTTTTTTTTATCTTTAGGAATTGCAAAATGCGGTAAGTATTACTTAATTACAATGTTATAGTATTATATTTAAGTCAATTCGATAATTTTTTCTTTTATAAAATTAAAAAGATAGAACTTATACTTATGTTGTTTTATATGAATTTTTTAACGAGTTTTTATTTTTTATTTTTCTGGTTTATTTATTTCTCGAATGAGTCACTGTAGTTTATTTATTATTTTCAACAAAAAAATCTTTTTGCTTAAATTTATAGAATTAATTTTAAAAATAGACATTTTTGTTTAAGTTAGTACAAAAATTTGTAAATATTAGTTGAAAATTATTATTTTACATTTATCTAAGTTTATTTTGTAGGGTAGATGCACCAGTTTTGGCTACTTTAAGGAATTCCTGTTTTTCAGGACATTTTTTCTTATGTTAATTATACAAAATGAGTAACTGACACTTGTTAATAGATTAATTACCATTCTTAGTTTCTGCAATTCTTGTCTTTAACGGTTAAAAAATATTAATAATATAATAAATTAATAAATATATGAAAGTGTCAATTTTTCTAGTTTTGGCCACCTTTTTTTAGCTTAGGGACTTTTGGGAAATCTGCCTACAGATACCTTGGATTCCGCACTCCAAGGTTATGTGGGGTTGGTACAATGAAACAAAAGGAAATATTAAAAAAAGATAAATAAATAAATGTTATAATAAATTTAATAAACTGGCGACCTACTACCAGCCTGACCCACTAAAACCAGTAACCCTTCTTCTGAAGCCCTTTACCCTCCCTCGGAACTGTCGTAAGACTTTAGCCTTCGAGGGTGGCGCTCCAACTCTGCCGCTAATGCGACCTTCTCCCTTTCTCTGCGGTTCTCCAGCGTCCGTAGTTAAAAAAAATAATTAAAACTATTACAAAGTCCAAGCGGAATTCACAGCCCAACAATAATAATAAAAAACAAATTTTTTAAGAAGTGTAAAAAGTCAAAAGATAAAATTGTAAACGGATTTAAAAAAGAAAAGAAAAAAAAAGTAAACACGTATATAATGTTGAAAAGATAAAACTGTATAAAGACGAATAAAAAACACAAATCAAATTAAAATATGTATAAGGACAAATAAATCACAAAATAAATTAATAAAAAACAAACAAATTAAAAGCTGTTTAAATCACGCTTTTTGGTGGCCGTCGAGATCCTTCCTCGACATAACCGAGGTTACGAAGTTCTCGACTCGCTCCTTTTAATACTTCTTATTTGCTTTTAGTTCCTGCAAGAGTCTTCTTCGCCTCCTCAAAAGCCGTCCTGAAGACTCCGCATCCTCCGCTGCCTGCAATATAGGTGGTTGACACCTTATTGCCAAACTTTTCCTTGCATAAAAAGCAACTTGGGTTCTTCTTACAGTTGGAGAACCTGTGACCGGGTTCACCGCACTTAAAGCACGCAGTTGATCTGTCCACCTTCTGGCATTTCGCTCCAATATGACCATATCCCAAGCATCGATGACACCGGATGACCATTACTCTTTTTTTAATTGGGCAACACATAAAACCAATTTTTACGTGTCCCAATTTCTCCAACCTGTTCGCCTCTTTTGGGTTGGTAATTACAACCGCGAGCTTCATCCCTCGGCGGTTGGGTCCTAAGACCGTCACTCTCCTGCATCCTGACCTTCCTATCGCCTCCGACAACACTTGTTGCACCTCGGCTTCTTGGGTAAGTCGAAGTCCGACTCATCGGCTGCGACATGCTTTACTTTTCCCTCTTTCAACAGGACTTCGATGGCTCTGAGTCCATCTTTTACCGTCCTGTTGACGTTCTTCTGAATGTCGCAAGATTTTATCATCTTTGCGACCTCCAACTCCATTTTGTCGAGGCAAGTCGCCTCCTCCTTTCTGAGCCGCGAGCATATCTCGCGAGTCTCTTCTGTCGCCTCGTCGTCTACTTCTGAGTGGATAGCGCTATGTACAGTCTTTCCGCTACTGCAGCTTGACACACTCAGAAGGCTCGACGCGCTTCCCTTTCTCCTTCCACGATGTTCTGTGGATCCAATCTTTCCACGATCACCCGTGGCACTGCAAGAAATTGTGCGCCCCCACAATCCGCGCGCACTTGAGCATCAGTCTTGGGACCGATGGTGAGACTTCCTGTTTACGGCCTGCTCACATGGGGTACTTTCTTTGAATTTTGTAGATCCATTCTTTCTTGCTGTTTGGTTGCCCTTTAGGCCGCAGTCCCATGGCAGCGTTTTGCGTTGCGTTGTAATAAGAGAGAATGCAGCAAACGTATATTTGCGTCTTTTTCTCTCCCATTACGACGCAACGCAAAACGCTGTCATGGGACTCCAGTCTTAGTGAAAAGCCCCGCCACCACGGCTAAAACCGTGTCATGGCCAAAACCGGTGCATCTACCCTATATTGTACGAACAATAATTGATATTCTTAAGTCACTAATTCTTGACTATTTTTATATTTTGCAGTATAAAATGAACCACGTAGGTATATTAAGAATCAAACTATAATATCAAATTTATTGTAGAGCAGTTAATATTGAATCTGCTGCCAGTAGGCAAAAATGTCTAAAAAGCAGTCGAAATAGATGCTATTTTTTCACTTAACTCTGCTGTTAAGTTGGGACAATTTGGCCCACATTGTCGCTTTCCATTCCTTTTCGAGCTCTGATGTCAACAACTGTTTGAACTCCACGGCCAAACATTTACATAAAACACCAATTGGAGGCACAGGTCCAATAAGTTGTTGTCTAGCACCTACATTGGCTAGTTCATCCGCTTTATCATTACCAATGAATGCACTGAGACCAGGGACCAAAAGAAGAATAATGCGGTTAATTACAGCTAGTCTGTTGAGTGTCTGATGGCAATCACAGGTCAGCTGTGATGTTGTGTGAAGAAAAAATCATAAAAATATTTTAATTTAATTGGACTTTCAGTTTGAAAGTAAATTTCTCCAACACTTGCTCTGAAAGGAGTACTTTTCTTGGTAGAAAAGTGTGGCGAAAGTATAACTTTTCTCAATTGCTCTGAAGAGCGTGGCGAAAGTAAAATTTGGCGTGGCGAAAGTAAATTCAGCGTTGCGAAAGTAATTTTTAGCGTGGCAAAAGTAAATCATGACCTAATTCTTTTTTCTTGTTCTTTGACCGAGATATATTTTGTATCTAACTTCTTCCCCACTCAAAGAATTCGTCTTTTATTATATTAAACATAAGCACACGTTAAATTAAAATTATATACGAAACTCACGAAGAAACCTTTCCTCGCAAGGCGTTGGAGAAAACGTAGTGCACAACACGTGGTGAAAAAATGAAAGAATGAATCACACTTTCGCCACTAGTTGTACAATGCAAAATTTATATCAATAACGCATTATTTACCACATGATTCATTAACCTAAGGTTTGTAATTATTTCCAACCTAACAGCAGGGTTAATTGACATTCTTAACAAATGTTTGAACATCCTAAATAGGTATTCATCTATTTAATTAAATATCAAACTTTTTATATTACTGTCATATCTTATATCCTTTTATTCTGACATTAACAATTAATATGCGTTTCTCTTTTTTTCTATATCATTAGAGACTTTATAGGATGGTACGTATATCCATATAAACGAGCAACGACTATATAATTAGCTGACTTTTTTATGTAAATTTTTCGCCCTGGGGGGGTCATGAGCCCCGTGGATCCGCCACTGTATAAAAATTATTTAAATTCAATTTTTTATAAAAAATAGGTTACTAAAATAACATTCTTAAAAGAAATATAAAAATATGTCCAATTTTTTCACTGCAAATAAATTATCATTATTTGTACATTACAAACAAATTACTAATTCTTAGGATTATTATTATTATTAATAATAATTAATTATTATAACAGTTATTAACTGTTAAATAAATAAAAATAAATAACTAAATTATTTAGTCGATGCATCCGGGTGGCCTTGGTGAAACTGGCTCTTAGTGTTTGGGAGATTAAGTGAAATGTTTACAGTGCAAGAATTTTAGGATGATCCACAAAAGAAAAACTGGAAATTTTTTTGCTCATACCTTTAGATATAAAGTTTATAGAAATAATACCTCTAATTTTTTAGCAAAGCAACATTAAATCGTACCTCAGAGTTATTTAAATATCACATTTTAAATAGGTCTGTGTATGATTACAAAATGCTTTAAAATTTGAGTTGCTGAATACGTATTAAGCATCTATTTAACCTCATTAGATAAGAATTTATACATATAATCAAGAAACTCTCAATTTAATTTACACAGGCAGCAAAAAATGACTATCTTTGACCTGGGGAATAGATCATGTTAATCACATTTATGTGACGCGAGACAAGAAAAGGTATATTAGTATATTAGTTTTTCAACTTCTGATTTTTTGACGTGAAAGAGCAAATGAAAATCTATCGAACAGCGCAATAAACTTAAAAACGATTTAAAAATTATAGGTATCTTTTCTCGTCTCGCATGACGTATTTCGTTAAATGTAAATTTTCTGAAAGTTTACATGGACAACTTATTGTAAAATTTCTTGAATTTGAATTCTTGAATTCAGTTGAATTTGAAGGCATATATCTCATATCTACTTCTGTACCATGTAGAATGTTTAATAAGAATCCTATTGAGTTCCTAAATTTTTCCAAAGTTTGCAGAATGAAAATATCTAAACTATTAACAACTAGCGTCATTTTCCTCGCTCGCTCGATAGACATTTTACTTATTTATTTCCACTTGCATAAATAGTTTTTGAGGTAAAAATTTTGTTTAAAAAATTTTTAACGTCAAAAACTCTCCTGATGAAGCTAATTTTGTTTAAAAAAATCTTTAACTTCAAAAACGATCCTTATACCTCATACAGTATGCAGGCAGGCTAATTGTTTATAACATTTTTACACCAATAGGTCTTTTTTAAAAAATTATGCAATATATGTTTTCGTAGTGGTTTTTAGCGTAGAATCAAATAGCACTATAAGTTTATTATAAAAATCGATTTTTCTTCATTTGTTTATAAAAAAAATTGTTAAAAAAATATTTTTTAACATTCAACGACAAAAATTATTATTAGATCCCATGCCAGGATTCCAATAGTTACTTTTATTATATCTGCATTCTTTTGCCTATATAGGCATCAATGGGTTAATGTAAAAAATCTTTTCCTTAAAGCATTTTTTCAGTTAGTAGAAAATAAATTTGACACAATAACGTTTGACTTTTGTTCCACTGAAGACCATAAAAATAAAAAATTAGAAATATAAGCCTGGATAAAGTGTGGAGGAAAAGATTTTTTACAATAAAAATGAAAATCATAAAGAAGTATAAGGAGAAGTATGTATATGTATCCCTTTTGACTGTACTTGACTGCGTAAAATCGCCATGCACGCAAATTGGCATACCGGAAATTTGTTCACTGATATTAGCGCCCCTACAGGAGAAAATATATACCCTCCATTCTGTCCATGATAAGTTTTGTTTACATAGTTTTTTGGTTATGTACCAAGTTGATAATAACAATAAAATAATAGTAATATGAATTGTTTTATAAAAAATTGCATGTCTAGTTATAAAACAAATAAAAATGCTTATGAAAAAAGTGTTTTTTTAAAGCACCGAGAATGATAAGTTTATTTAATATACTATTTTGTTAGGGTAAAAGTTTTTATACTTTTACCAACAGATATTTATGAATTTAATGCAAAGAATTTTTTGTTGTTTATTTGGAGTCCTTTCTATTTATATAACGTATAAAACAATTTAATTCTGTTCATCTATTTTACAATACAACACTCAGAGGATCCTCTAGCCTTAAATATCAATCAGCTGTCAAAGATAAAAATACTTAAAATGTAAAATTGCACTTATTTCTCCCGTTTGGCGGCGCTGTTATCAGTGAACATAAGGCTATTACTTTTCGCGTGCCTGTCGATTTTACTGCAGAGAAGTACAGTCAATATAAGGAAATTTTCCCATTGGAGATTTAAGCCCTAGGACGTTTAAATCCATCAAAGCAATTTTTTTAGAGCTCTGTCCGTGTTGACGTGGAATTTCCCTTATTTATATCAAATATGCAATTATTTTTCATAATTAATTATTTTAATTTAGACCAATATCTCTTTAATTGCGTTAAATAATTATTTATTTAGTCCTTATACCAAATTTATAATAAATAAATTAATGTTCTTCCATTTGCATATGTAAAGGTATTAGCACGCTAAAAAATTATCTCATTCAAATAATTTTTTTATCTATATATTTATTTGATTCAAATAACTTGAATTATGCGAATATACGAAACTTTTTTTTTAGAAAATGCAGGTTGGCAAACTTAGACCAAAAGAATTTAAAAAATTTAAAACAATCTTATAAACCCCTTTGCTGTTTGGAAAAATAATCATATGATTGGCGTTATAGTGATAGAACACTACTGCGCATGCCTGACATTGACAGAATACTACTGCGCATGCCTAACATTGGTAGAACACTACTGCGCATTTCTGACATTGACAGAACACTACTGCGCATGCCTGACATTGACAGAAGACTACTACGCATGCTTGATACTTATAGAACACTACTGCGCATGCCTGATATTCATAGAACACTACTGTGAATGCCTGATATTCATAGAACACTACTGTGAATGCGTATATGTATGTACAATGAGTATATGTATATACGATACTATGAATAAATGATAGAAGTCGAACGACCGAACGATGAAGTACGGAAGTACACGAACGACGGTCGACAAAACGACAACGAATATGTTAATATTATAGGAGATTATTATAACTATTGAGATTTTTAAAAATAAATTGGATATTAAGGTACCTATAAAGATGAGACAAGGACCACATTACTGAGAATATACATTAATTACATCTATTACTAACCATAGTAATAATCGCTTATTTTCTTCCGTTGTTGTAATTTGTTAAAGTTTTTTAAATCGATTATCGGAAGAGTAGTAAATGAAACACTTGTATCACTTGTGCAACGTTTCGGTGTCTTGGTTTGACACCATCATCAGGCCACTAGTCATTTTTAAAAAAAGTTGACTAGTGGCCTGATGATGGTGTCAAACCAAGACACCGAAACGTTGCACAAGTGATACAAGTGTTTCATTTACTACTCTTCCGATAATCGATTTAAAAAACTTTAACATATTACTAACCATATTTGTAGAATTAGCGAGATGCCTGTGTGCATTCTATACTCATGCACCTCATCAATACCGATAAGGCGCCTTTACTATAATGCAAGTTAGTCTGTATAACGGTAAGCTTGCAAACAGTCAATTATAATATTTTCTCTCCCATCTTTATATTTTTAGAGTCGTAACTATCTGGGACAGCAAGTTTCCCACACAGCACATGATATTTCCTAAATATTTCCTGAAATATTTCAGTGCAAGGTTCTTGAAATATTGCTGAAAACAGAAAAATGTTCGCTTCTGTGGAAATATTGACGCGAAAGTTCAGAAAATATTTCATTAAAATATTTTGGAAATTTTCAATTTAAATGATGCGCACTGGTCGGACTCAGTTTCTATGGTAGAGCAGCGCAGTAGTTTTTAGCTTTCTAGTCCTATGGGTTTTAAAATATTTCACAAAATTCCTATTGGTTTCATGTGTTTAACAAATTTTCTAATTTTGTGAAATATTTTCACGATATTGCAGAATCGTCATGTGTAATATTGCAGGAATATTTCAAGGACTTTGCACTGAAATATTTCAATCTTTTAGTGAAATATTCAGAAAATATTTAGGAAATATCATGTGCTGTGTGGGTTTAAAGTTACTCATCCCAAATAGTAGTACGGCCTGAATTAGAGACCTTCAGTACACGTCTTCAGCAAGGGATTACACGCCTTCAAACTCAACTAACTTTACATTTTACACAAAGAATAGTCTAAGTATCTGGATTAGACTAGATAGACCATTTGTGTTTAGCAGACTAAATATGCAATTGAATAATTCTTGATTTTGTATAACGCTTTAATTTTTTCTTTCTAGATAAATACAGCAACAAGCGGAGCAACTTGGTTGAAACCAAACATCCTAATATATGATACAGTTGGTCAACGTATAATGTTCCTTGCCTTCTTCGTTGTGCATTTCTTTGTACTTAATTTTATTATTTAACGTTGTTGCTAGCTTTTCTTATACGACGTTAATTATAATTTTTTCCTTTGTATAACTATTGGTTTTTGATTCTTTCAAAAACATTGTTCTTTTGAGCAATTCCACGGAAAGTGATCTGAAAAATTTTCTATGATTTTAGCGATGAATTAATACTTTCCGGATTTGTTCTTTCAAATAAATTAAATACAAATGTACAAGTTTTTTCAAAATCTTTTCAATTACCTCTTACTTAAAATTTTGGTCGGTTTTTCAAAAAATTTATATAACTTTTTTCCTTAACAATATTTACGTATTTCTATTTAAAATACTATATTTATTTATTATTTAGAAACAATAAGAGACGCAAATGAAAGAAAGAAAATTTAAAAAAGTACAACTACCCTCAAGGACAGGAAGTATTTCTTACTTTATAGACAATAACCATAAAAAAATTTCAAATTAATGACGCAGTTTTTTCAAAATTTGAATTAAAAAAAATTTTTAAGTGATTTTGTTAGGAGTATTTTAAAAAAATTATCTTAATCAGTTGACAAGGAAAATATTTGCTTACTTGTTTTGAAAAACAGACCAAAATTTTGAATAAAAGATAATTAAAAAAATTTTGAATATTTTTATTTCATGCATGTGAAGGAAAAAATTCAGAAAGCATTATTGTTGTTGCTAAAATCATTGAAAATTCTTTAGATCATTTCCTGCGGAATTTTTCTTATTTAAAGTTAAATTTTTACTGTAAACTAAAGTTGCTGTCACTACATTCTTTAAATAAATTAATGTTATTAATATGAAATACATGTTTTTTGTTACTTCACCTTTTCCTTTATATTGTATCACATTACCAATACAAATTTTGCGAAAGCAAGGAGAGTCTGCTGCGAGTTGTACAGTTTTATTTCATGGTTCCTAAGATAATAATTTACTTAGATCCGGCAAGGCTTCTGGTGTCATGTGGATTAACTAGGAAATCCCATTATTAAGAAAATAACGAAGATACGTCTATCCTTGTCTTACTAATGGAATTTTCTGGTTAGTCCACATACCGCCAGGACCCTTGCCGGATCTAGGTAAATTATTATCTTAGATAGTTCTAACTTTTCACTAAATTCAGATATCCACATTTTTTAAGTTCTTTCTAAGATAATTTACCTAGATCCGGCAAGGGTCCTGGTCCTTTTTGCATCGACATCATAATAGCTGGTGACTCTTGGATCTTACTCTCTTGGGTGTTCCAGTTTTGATATATTTTTAAAATAGAAATAAACATAACATTTGTGTAGCCAAGGAATACAAATTTTGTAATACCTTTTCAGTTTTCGTACCAATTTCATCGAAATATTGAGTCACAGAACAAAATCTTCCCTACTTTCGAAAAATAAAAATAGTATATTAAGCAACAAGGAGACAAAGACAGCCATTTATTTACGGTGATTTTTGTTGTTGTTGGAAGAGATTTTCGATTATTCAAGAGTGCCAGGAAGACGAATTCTTCAACGGCGACGAGTCACCTGTCAAGAAATTGGGTGCGGCCATATTGGATTGGTGGCGTAACATCGGCTCGTACGCAGCGCTCATATGGCGCCGCGTGTAACTTATTACCGACGGTTGAGAGACAGTTATCGACGAGTGATAATTGACCAACGAACTTTAGCTTAATAATTCCACTGGGACTCACCTCGAGAAACAAAACGAAGTGTGCGTCACGATTGTGACTAAGTAAAATAAAATTAAAAATAATTGTCTTTTTGTGCCGAAAATGAGTCGGGGGTTCATCCGAGGAAGACGTCGTCTTGACGGTGACTACCTTTCGTATTGAAATGAGCTATTCCTCCGACCAGTCTTAAGTTTATAATTGAGCAAATATTAATAGTAAAATTCGAGCCCTGTCTAGGCGGCTTGCTGCCGACTAATGTTCAAAATTGTGATCAATTAATAAAAATAAATCAATAGTAATTTTGTTAAATCAGTGTTGTTTAGTGATCATTCTTACTTCCCCTTCTCCGCGGTTATGAATAATTTAACGATTAATGAGCAGTCGGTATAATATTTCTAGGTTTGTTCATTCCGTGTCAAAATGACCTGGTGTCATGGGCAAATCCATACTCTATGAATAATCAAAATAGATAACAGGTTTTCTATTAACCAAATTTAATCTCTTTGTTTTAGAAAAGAAAAATAGATAATTCCAAATTAAAAATAATTAAATTAAAATTCGATAAAAAATTAAAAATTAATTCAATAATGGTAAAACCTGTTACAACACATATCCGTTAATTATTAATTTTTTATTCACAATTTTTGCAAAATATTTCATTTTCAGCAATGAATATAAAGACTTTATTTGCTGACAAGAATATTGACACACAAGAATTTAAAAATGTACTGTCAAAATTTGTTGGACTGTTGCTACAGCAACCGAAAGAAATGTTTTTTAAAATTTTTTCGTGAAAAATACTTGTCGTGAAATAGAATTCGGGAATTTGTTTTTGTGAAAATTACTTGTCGGAAAAAATGATTTCGGGAAAATGTTGGGGAACTCATACAACTTCTGACTCGGGGCTTGTAGGTAATGAACTAGCTCTACCAACCAAGCAAATGAATGGAATTACCAACTGTTGGTATGGGCGATTGAAGAGCTTTGTACAGCCTATAGGATCCGATTAGCAAAACAACATCCCGAGGAGAACCCTGTCGAGAGGGTAAATAGAGTCATTAAAACAGTGTTACGCTTTTATATAGAAGCGACACACCGCCAATGAGACAAATATCTTGGAGTTTTTCGTTTCGCCTTCAATACAGATCGACACTCATCCATTCAAACCTCTACGGCTTTTTTAAACTAAGGTAAAAACCCTCCTTCAAAAGGTACGGTATTTAAATGTTCAAAAGAAGAACTACACTGTAAATGGCGAGTGAACCACGGCATCACGGAATGGAACAAGCTCGAGTCGGAAATTCAAGACGAACTTTAGACCATTCTATTCTTGATCCAACTTTATTTTTACACCGGTTTCATCCCTCGAACATTTATTCAGGAATCATTTTTCTTAATAAAAGAAAGTTCATTAATACCTTTCTACTTACTCATTTTATTCTTTTGTTAAAATTACTATTTTGTTTATATTTGTTTCACGCCATGAGAAGAATTTTAAGTTAATTATTTTATGAAAGAAACCTTTCATTAAAAAAATGTTTGCTATTCATACTGTTGCTTATCTTAGAAACTTTGTTTACTCTTCTCTACACGGAGAGAAGTTTAATCCTAAAATCTCGGTGTGATCAGAGTCTTAGACAATGATTGGAAACTCATCATAGTTTTCGACAAGATGTAGCGCTCTCTGACGGTGACTGTCACCGCCACTTGCGATTTTATGGTTTAAAGTTCTCTCCGTGTAAGCTATCAAAGGAACTTTTTGTTCATTTTTCGTTAACTAATTTTAATTTGCTCATCAGCGATTGTAATCACTAAGACTAAAGCTGGATGTTTTTTTTCTAACAATAAAAAGGCAATTAATTCAATAGGTGTGTTTCATTTAGCAAGGTTTTTTTGTGTTTTAACGCAAAGAAAAAAGAGTGTTTTTGCATCTAAGAGACTTAATAAAAAAAAGTTGTTTAATTCGACTTAAACAATAATTGGGTGAGCAATGATTAACTTCTTGGCTTCACCCACTTGCATGGTCTGGGCGGCATTGTAACGCTGCAATTTTGTCACTTTAATTTTATCCCAAATCATGGTGGAAAAATGTGAAGCCCCCTTATAACTAAATTGTAAATCACCAACAGAAGGAATATTGCATTTGTAAATTAGAACCTAAATGTTAAAAAACAATTTAAATTAATAAACTCAAATATGTCTAAAGGATCTAAGAGCAATCTTAATTTAAAAAATAAAATACTAGGATGCTAGATGTGGAAAAATTATAAGATTTTCTGCAAAAAATTTTTTGAGCAAAAAATCAACAGAAGCTGAAAATTTTTACAAAAAAGTATACAACAGGAAGTCTGACATGAGGAACAAAGACAAGAACAAGCAACATCACGAAACCAATTGTTCCAGAAATACAATACAAGCATAACACATAGTTTTCATCTCAGTGTATGAGCGAACGAGCTTATGGAGTATCTATCTATTTATTGTGGATATGGATAGAAACAGGAACGTTCAACTCTGGTGTTCCAAATCAAGAATAACTCCCTTAAAAAGCTCACAGACAATACCACGTCTGGAGTTATGCGCCGCCGAATTATTGACTGACATCTATATATCTTTGAAAAAAGCAACTGACATCAACCCTGACAAAGTATTTTTCTTGACAGATTCCATGATTGCACTCCAGTGGATCCATAAATCACCGCACATACTTCAAACCTTGGTGGCTACTCGTGTGTCAAAAATCCAACAACGAACAGAACCTCAGCAATGCAGACACATTCGCACCCATTACAATTCGGCAGATGCTATTTCCAGAGGACAATTGCGAATGGACTTCACGAAGAATTTGTTATAGAGAAATGGACCAGGGTCGCTTACTGGGGGAGAAAACAATAGTTCTTATACACCTATTGAGGTAGCGGCTGAAGTTCCTGTTGTCAAGAAAACTATATGCTTGACCTCATCTACAAAACCAAGGGTATCTCAATCACCTTCAGAGGTACTAACATCTGAGAATCTTCTATTATCTAGATTTTCCTGTTATCATAAGCTATTTCTATCTATTTCTAACAATGATTGCGCAAGGGAGTTTATGTCAAAATCTAGCAAACGGTAACATTTTAATCCATTCATCGATGATAATGGATTGATTCGAGTTGGAGGGCGAGTTGAGAAAGAAAAAACAATGAACTTTGATGAGGAAATCCAATTGTGCATGTTCATGACAGCGACTAATATCGACAATTTCCATGCTGTCTGTCAGTCGATTCTCCATCTTTTGAGAAGAAAATTGTGGCCTATTGATGGACGTCGATAAATACGTCTCATTATCAACATGAGAGATCTTCCAACTGAACGAGTAACACAATCCAAGCCTTCTAAGAACACTGGAGTCGACTACTATGGATCACTTTTCATCAAGAAGAAGAAACACAGAAATCGTGTCAAGGTCAAAGATTAAATAACTATTTTTGTTTGCTTTAGTACTAAGACTGCTGCATTCAGCAGATTTATTTCACGACATCCTGCTTGAAATTCTATGAATTCGGATAATGGAACCACTTTTGTTAGAGCTAGCAACGAGCTTCAAGAGCTATACATATAACTTTCTAAGTACACAAGATCATCAACAAAGGGTTCAACATCATCTAGTTCAGCAAGGGATTTAGTGGAATTTCATATCTCCCCATGCTCCTCGATGTAGCGATCTCTGGGAAGCGGCGGTGAAATTATTTAAGCATCATCTGAGAAGAGTCATAGGGAATAAACTCCTAACTCATCAACAATTGCATACCATCTGCATCAAAATTGAAGAATTTTAAATTCCGAACCTCTGACTCTATTAACATCGGACCTAAGCTCTAGTTTTAGATCAACCCACTTCTTATCACCTACCTACTAGATCCGAATATATTTCAAATTCAGATTTAGATAATTTGTTATTTATTCATTTATTATATTCTTTCTTTATACCTTCGGTCTCTTCTTTGAATACTAATGTAACGATGGACTATGTATTAATATATAGAGAAATAAAATACGTCACACACACAGCCATCGTAGTCGCGTTCAGCGTGAGAGCTACGAGAGAGTAGCGACCGCGCACGAAACTTGCGTCGCCTGCCTCCGCTCTCTCCACCACTCGCTCTCTTCCCGTCGCGGCAGAGCGAACCGATATACCTCGCTGCACGATCCTAGATCGTCAGTTCGTCTACCGCCTTGGCTCGAGGTGCTCTTCTTGCCTAACAGGTACGAACTCACTTTGGGCATTAGACTCAGACAGAGGTGCTCTTCTGGTGAGTAAAATGCTGTCAAAGGAAATGTTCGTTCTACCCAGGTGCTCTTCGGTCGAACGAACTTTCTTTACCAGGTACTATGCAACTGACCAGGGGTGCTCTTGTGGAAAGTTGACAAGTACGCTTAGTTTAATTAATTTCCGTTCCTCGTAATTCATATTCACTCGTTACCGCATACGGCAAGGATTTCGGCAGCATCCGGAATTTCAATTAACCCCTATGTGCTCCTTGGTTATTTCTCAGAAGTGCGCGCGCGCCATAGATATCGTCGGACTCGCGTAACGTGAAAACCTATTCTAGAACTGTCTCGCGAATATGAATTAAATCCCTGCATCGGAAATGCAAACTGAAGCGCGAATTACTTGTAACTAAAATCTAATGCGAACAAAGTTTTGACTTAAGTCCGCGAGAACCGATAATTATAAGAATTAGTATTATTTGTTTAAATGAATTTCTAATGTTAACTAAAGTATTTCTTTCGACGAGAAACAAATGTTAAGTTACTTTTCATACTAATTTATATTTCACTATTTTTATATTTATTGTTTTCTTATTTTTCTTATTTTTATTGTTTGTAAAATATTTTCTTTTGATTTACAATATATTCACTTTCGAAGGTTTAAATTGAGACTCGTTACTGACTACACCTCTCCTCGAATTCACAGCAGAAATAATAATTACGCAATGATCAACCCAATATTTAGTAATTACTAATTAAAGAAACTACGTTAGGTACCCGGACTCCATCCGGCGAGCGAATTCCGTAGCAAATTAAAAAAATCATATCATTACACTAATACTAATATTTTATTCAAAGATTTGTATTTTGATTTTTAAATTTAGAAGTTTCTTCTGCATTTTTCCTGACAGAAGAACAAATAAACTGTGAACAAATCTTTGTTTCAATTTTCCAACGGTTAACCTCAGGAAGGTATGTGGTTCGTTTGCCATTTAAAAGCGGTATATCTATAGATATTGGCAGATCATACGGAATAACAAAAATCATATTATAGCGATATATATTTTACGTCGTTTAATGGAAAATACACAAAAATTTGAAATGTATAAAGAATGTTTTTAGAATATAGAAGCCTTATCTTTACTAAAATTGGATAAGTTTAATGATTCATCAGAAATTGTTTATTTGATACACCATATCATTTTTCCAGAAAGTAGCTTAACTACCAAATTAAGAGCTGTTTGTAATACGTCTAGTATCACATCTAATAACACATGCTTAAACACTCATTTAGATTTTGGTCCTTCTCCAATAAATGATTTGATTTCCATTTCTATTAAGTAGTGCAAACATTGTTAACTTTTTGTATCTGACGTCAAAAAAATGTTTCGACAAATATTTGTTGATCCACCGACAGATTAGCTCAGTCGGATAGATGCCTCGCTTGGCAGTCGTTTAAGGACCAAGGGTATAAGTACCCTTGGTTCGCGCCCATTTGGCTTGGTATTTTTCCGGCACGTGAGACAATCTGAGCGGGAGGTTTGACGTCGAGGTATAATGATGTGCACCGTCGATTATTGTCCGGTACACACCATTAGAACTCGACTGTCGATAAACCGGTTGTACTCAGGAGAGGTTTTCTACAGTTTCCATCTACACTGACGAGAAAACCCATTAGACGGGTAGTCCAGGCAAATGCGAGTACTCCTAATTTCAAGACGTTCTGTAGGCGCAAAACTTAGTATTAGGAAAATGTATATAAGAAATATTATGTAAGAGAAAATGTAAACACATTTGTATAGCTAGATAATCTTAAGACGGGTGTATAAAGCAAATAAATAAATAAATATTTGTTGATCCAAAAGACATAGATTACACTGGCACACAAAAAAAACTTGATGCTCTGAGCTTTAGGTCAGACAGTGAGTACTTTATGTATTTGGGGTCGCTGAAACAGGATCTGAAGTCCATTTAACCTTATCACGCCAGAGTTTTAAGATAATCTAAAAAAATCCAAAAATTTGACCCCAAAATTTGTAAATCAAGAAAAATTCTTATTTTCAAGTGTTAGTATCACTGCCTAATGGTTTTTGGGTGTCCGAAGCTGAATGTGAAGTTTATTTTTACCCCTTCACGACAGGGTTTTGAAATAACCTCAAAGAATATAAGCCCAAAAACATGTAGTAGAGATCCTGTTTCAGCGACCCCAGAAACATAAAGTAGTCACTGTCTGACCTAAAGCTCAGAGCATTAAGTTTTTTTTGTGCCAGTGTTATCAGCGTATTTTATGTAATAATTATGAAGGGAAATTGTATACATATCAACTCCTTACTGAAACCTATAGTACTTCATGTGCTCCATATTTGACAAACAAAGTAGTACAACAATTAGTACATGATAAAGGTATGAACTTTCAGTTAGCTAAATCCATTACTGAGGAGGATATTTACGTTGATGAACTTTTCTTTGGTGAGGATGATCTATCAACTGCCAAAGAAGCGAGTGAAAAGTAGAGGTTTTATTTGCGTAAGTAGGTCTCGAATAAAAAATCAAAGTTAAGTGACTGTACATTAGAAAATCATAAGCGAGCATTAGATGAAGAATCTATACTGAAAAGTCGTTTTCGAAGGTTAGGTTGGGATCCACTATCAGATTGTTTTCGAAATGCAAAAAGTCTTGAATCTAATAAAGTTCCTAATAAGAGGATTTTTTGTCAGTCATAGCAAAATTGTACGATCTATTTGGTTGAATACCTTCTGAAATTGTAACAGCATATCTTTTATGCAGGAATTATGCCTGCTCAAATTAAATTGGGATCAAAAAGCCTTGACTGTGAAATGTAATATTTAAAATTTGAATTACTTTATTTATTATTTATTTATTTACATCATCTTTCCCGCAGTCCAAGATAGACCATACATGGTTTACGAAAACTAAAATTAATTATTTAACAATACTTAAATTTAAAAAAATTAAAATTAAATTAATTTTAGAATTTGAGAACGACATTGTCAACAACAGTTGTCAATGTAAATGTCAAAAGCAGATTGGAAACTTTATCTGAATGAAAAAAACAAATCAAGATCGGGCTTGATTTGTGTGAACATCAAGTTTATGTGGTTGCACGAAAAATACACGGGTGCGACTTCTGCGATTGCGGGGCGATCAAGGTAAAAGGGTTGTAGGTTTCTAGAGGCAGGACGAGGAACTCTAAATGGTATCTGGGAGAGGAGTTGTGGAGCGTTTATTTGTGAATTTAGGATTTTCTATAAAAATAAGGTCGCGTACAGGATTCTTTGTTGGGCTATTGCACGGAAATGAAATCTTTTACACAATTCGAGGTAATCGCAGCCTTGTCGTGGATAAATTTTATCAGATTTAAACGCCAAGTATTTCAGAAATGATTTTTGGATTTTCTCAAGTTTATCGTTATATTTATTGTAATATGGAATAATAATAAAATTTACATACAGTTTTTTTTTACTTTTTATTGGGCCAAAATTATTGGATGTGTCAGCCTAGTCCTGCCTGACTAGTCATCCTTTTAGTCATGCAGGAGTTGACTACGCAGCTTCCTACAATATAAAATTGAGCCCAGGTCGAGGATATAAAACTCGAAAGACATACATAGCCTTATTTGTTTGTTGCTATACTAATGCAGTTCCTATTTAACTTGTTTCTGATGGTTCTTCAGCCGCCATTCTAGTCACGTTTTAGCGCTTTATTTCTAGACGGGGAAAACCTTCCGATGTCTCTAGTGATAATGGTCTCTGTAGGATCTGATCGCTACCTGGCACAATATCTTGTTAATTTAAAAGTTAATGCTGATTTGCATAACGAATTGATTTTCGAAGTAGAGAAATTACTCAAAAACCACTGTACATTTTTTAAGGAATATTTGGATACAGATCCTCATAACTACACTTATCTCGGCAACAGTATATAAATTGACATCTTGAAGTCTATAACAAATGTGATGTTAAGAAAAATAAGGCTAAAAATAGATTTTTGAGAAATTAAACAAAGTTCTTAAAGAGCTTCGTGTAGATTGGAATAATGTCCAGTTATTTTGCTTGGGCCTCAACAATGTCAGGATAATTTACTGGAGTACAGCCTCGATGCAAGGAAATTAATAGAAAATTATTATACATTCACTGCTATGGACATTGCCTTAATTTCGCTCTAGTTATTGTCTACATTTCACATAAGAAAAATCCAAATATACATGATTTATTTAGGACATTCACCCTAAAATTCTAAAATCTTTATGGGCGTGTCAAGCAGAAGCCGTTGCAGTAGTCGTAGAAAACATCATTGCAATAATCGAAGCGATTGAACAAATTTTAAAAGCAACCGGTGATGTCAATGTTCAAGTTACCGCAAGGGTTCTAATAATTCAAATAAAAACTTTCAGTTTCATTATTATCACGTGATATACGTATCACATGTATATCACTAGAATTAGAGTTATGCGAACCTATGGGCAGTATAAACCCCCTTTATTAAACGTTGGATGAATTTAGAAATAGCGATACCATCTTAGACGCAATATATGCAAAGGCGTGTGATTTATGTGAACAATTAGTATGCTGTTTCTTTACACATGAATATAGTTTCCAATTGAAGGATTTCTTTTTTTATGTCAAATTTTGTTTCTTCTGCTGAAAATCTACCTTATTTTTAACAAGATTATACTTTTAACTTCTGTAGGTCGCTATTTTACTTAATATACATTGTGACGTGGTTTTTTAATATCCACGTCATAAAAACAATTATAAGGTCCACCAAAAGACTATTTCCCTATTTGATAGGTGGGGTGATCGCGAATAAAAGAACGAATACCAATTTCGAAGACGTTTTTTATATTAGCTGTCCAAGCTCAGACTCAAAATTTATTATATTGTATAAGAAAATTAATTTAGAGTTTACGTTCTTATTATTTTTTCCAGCTGGATAGCAGTTGCCAGTTGGAAGCAATATTCGTTTTTCTAATTGAGGGGCTGAATGCTATAAAGTGTTACGCGCCATGTTAAGTAAATGGCGCGTAACACCTTATGGCATCCAGGCCTCAATTGTTGTATTTTTCTCTTGGATCAAGAAGAACCACACTTCTGGGAAAAATATAATTGTATTTGGAATTCAAAACTGTTATGAGAAACCAGTCGATCAGGAAGAATATTGCATTTATCGTAGGAACGCGATTTCGTATATTAAAGCTGGATTGTCTAACGCCGGACTCAAGGAACTTGCAGTCAACGGTACTGATGCTGTCATCTTCGTGACACAGGGCGTATCATAGTGGGCATGAGCGAGCTTCGTTGCACGAGGAAGGCACATCACAAGGGTTGGGTCTGTTGTAGCTTGGCGAACAACACGCGAAAAATTGCGGATTCTCTCTCGGATTGTGTTTCAATTTAAAAAGAAAATATATTTTGTGTGTTAATTTAATCTTGTTAAAATTAATGCATTCGAGTCAGTGCCTTTTCTCTGTCCTTACCACGGAAACCCTATGACCCTGAAGCGTTTTTTAGGTTAAAGTTTTTCGCGGTAGAACTAGTGAGCTCGGAAATCGAGCTAGACTAGGAGTGCTCACAATTTAGTTTACGAAGGCGGAGGTCTGGGTAGCATTCCTACCTCGCGCTAGAGAAGCTCTCCTGAACGGACCACCGTTGGCCGTGTACAAGTTGGAGGAGTGGAACTTGTATACTCAATTTCAATCAATTTCAATCGACGCATTCATATCATGAAGTCGCGTCGAGTCCAGAAAACTGACATCTTGGACTTACCTTTAAAGTCTGTCCTCTTGCGGTTAAAAAATCAGAAGTTCACACGGTTGACATGTTTGTCCATGCAAATTTTTTAATAACATTCAAGGAAAACAAATCTTCAGAATATTCTAATCATTAAACCCACTAACAGACCTATTTTATTGGTATAATAGGATTATAATTTGCGTGGGTGTAAATGGAGAGAAGAATGTAGTAAATATCTTTTGACTAAACCTCTTTTCTTAATGCAATGTTTCTCCGATGAAGGAGATATTTTATTTATGTACACTTATCTTATTGTCTAACACGTTTACAAGTTTTCTATTTAAAGGTATCTAATGCTCTTCTCATACCGAATTTCAAATAAAGAACACTTACTTTTACCTGAATCACCTCTTTTGAGTCAAAATTAGCTTCGCACGTGAAAGTGATAGAAGCTGCAAAAATGCAATAATGGCGTCTAATATTAAATACCATCTGGTAAGGCTGTAAACAGGTTTATAATATGAAAACATAATATTTAAGTTTTTAAGATTAAGGAACACGCATAAGACCAAAAAATGTATTTCAAAGATTTAATCAATTTTTAAATATTTTAAAGTCAAATTTCTGTCTTGGGAATTTTCTGGAAAAACAATTTTTGTCATATGTGAATTCCTTAACCTTAAAAAAAGAATATTATGTTTTGACATTATAAACCTCTCTACCGTCTTAAGAGATGGTATTTAAGTTTTGACGCCATTATTGCATTTTTGCTAGTTCTGTCATTTACATGCACAACACCAGTTCTGATGACATACCTCTCAATTGGTTGAAAAATAAAGAATGTTTTAAATTTATTATTAGATATTATGAAAGTAGGGAATATGTGTTTTAAAACGAAACCTTAACCATCTTTTTAGAAATAAAAATAAAAAACTTTTTGTAATGTCTCTATTTGCCGTAGGGTGGGCAAATCCTACTGATGGTCACTGTAAATATGCAGATGGAAAACGATAGATGTAAAATTCTACTCAAGAAGACTAAAAAGAATAGGTACAACTTAGGTGGTGAGGGTACAGGAGGAATACGTACAAATATGGTTTTCCGAAATGATCCGAGCAAATAAATAAGTTACGAGTAGCGGTAGCCTTCTGCGTAGACTAACTTTAAATTTACCACCTTGCAGTTTTTCAGCATAAATATTAACACTTATCTCTATATACATATATGAATCGGTAAAATAAATATCTGTTTTTTATTACCACCTGTAGGTAATATGAGCAGAGGGTTACTGCGACTTAGAACTTATTAGCCTATTTCAGAAAACCAGATCATCACGTACTCCCGCCCTATCTAAGTTGTATCTCCTGTTTCTAGTCTTCTTCATTCTACTTTAACAATTATGTACACTAGTACTCTGCACTCGTAACAGAAACTGAACATGATATCTTATATCATCAAGCACAAAAATTTTTCCATTTAAGATGGTTTAATAGTATATGCACGATTTCATTAGTCTTGCATTACAATATCAACTGATCATCAGTAAAAGATAAAAAAAACTACTAGTCAATTTACAAAGTTTTAAATAAAAATGAAGTCCAAGATATTCTTTTATACATTATCTTGTATGACTTTTTCAAATAAAATCTGGTGTATGTACATTTTTGCAATTTCTTCTACAAGAATTTTCAACTATTTTTATTGTTTGAAAAGAACAATAAATATTTAATAGTAGTCATATCTAATTAAGGAGGTTCTATCGCTTGACGCAGCTAGTCAAAACAGTGAGAAATATTTAATGTTTTGACTCACTTGGTAACGTCAAACGTTTGGCAACGTCAAATTATTTCTAACCTGTGATGAAAATTATCATTTAAATTTCGCGCTCAAATTTAATGTGTATAGTGCATGCAACGTTGCCAAACGTTATAAGTGTTGTTTATATTTTCAGATGAAACGTACATTTTGTTTACAAATTGATTCATTGTAAATCTCACAGGTACCTATTGACAATTGTTTTAACAGATATGTAATTATTGCATATCGGTTTAGTATTTCAAAAAATTTGGATCAATATCTGTTTATTTAATACTTTGCAGTTTGTAAATATATATGACAAACTACTCAATTCCCATAAGACTCAATGTTAAATGTTGAAAATCAAAAATGTTTATAACTTTTTTCATAGGTACCTAGAGGTCACAAAAATTTAACTACGCCTTTATATTAACTTTATCTAGCTGCTTATCAAGTTTTATCAAAATCTGTTCATTAAATCAATTATTGATAGAACCTCCTTAAGTAAATTAAATTTTATAACTGTCAAGTTTTAGATCTTGCTGCAAAAATAATACAATTTTTTACCATGTAGGTGTCATGGAATGTAATGAGATCATAAATCTTTAAAAACTATTCTCTTGGGTATTAATTTAAATACATATTTAAATTATTTTAAAAATATATTTATTTTTAAAACCCGAGAAAATAAAATATATTATTGAAATATAAAGCATTTATTTGTTTCAGAATGAATGAATGTGTTGAAAAAGATAAACTTGTAGTGTCAAATTGTTTTATAACATATATATTAACTTGCTTTTTTTTACAAGACGTCTCTCACACTCGAGTTTGAGAGATAAAACAATAATATGTTCACTTACAGACAGTAAATTAACTGCTTTTTCACTACAAATAGATTTTGAAAATGTTCCCACTATAGTTCAGTCATAAAGTTCAGTTTCTTGTTACTCCTTGGTGATGATAAGTAATGCCAATATTATCATAATATCCCTAGTCGTCTTCAATAGTAAAATTGTATCTAAAGTACTTAAGATACCACCTATACACAATGAAGGACTTGCCTTCCTTTATATCCACCTCCATCATATTTCTATATACAAAGGTTTTGCACCATAAAAGATGATCGCTATTATCATCAGTAGTTCAATCGTATGTACACATACGACACAGTTAGAGTGAAGTTAAAGAAATGGCATGGTATGGCACAGCGCACAGAGTACTTTATTACCTGCGTAAATTGCAGCTGTACTACTGTGCAAATACGTAGAATATCAGTGATGAGACACTTGGCAAGGTATTCAACGTGGGGTACCCAAAGATCCCCAATGCTCCGCAGTGGGTCATGCATAATGTGGATAAGAGCCAAGATGCGGAGGTACATGACCTGACGGTGTGTGGTGTCCTGCATAAAGATTTGCCCCAGGACTAGTAGACCAGTAACTTGAAGCTGACTGGAAAAGACCACCAGGTACGGATACAGAGACTGAAGCAGCTGGTGGCGGCATTAGATTGAGCTTTGCGTGTCCGTATCCAGACATAAACAGTTCGCTTTGATATTTGTAAGCAGCTGGATCAGCTGTGGCTGGTTGTGTAGCAGCAGCCAAGCCTTGAAAATCGAACTTATACGCATACCTCTTCCCGTGAACTTTTGTCATGATGTTTTTGTCGTAATAATACCTGAAACAACAAAATGGTTTAATGTCATTTTCTGTTTTTATAACTTGGTAGTCTTAATTATAAATCAAACTTTAAGGTTAACGATCATTCCGAATCACATAGAGAATGATTGGCGTCGGTATCAATGAAGATAAAAATTCAAAATGTAATGTAATTGCTACTTACAATAATTTTTTTAAAAATTATTTTGATTGGGATTATTTTTAATATAAGTAACATTTAATTCAATCACAGATTATATTTATAATTGAAAGTTGATGACTTAATTTCCTCTTAAATGTTTTTAAATAGCACGAGTTATAGACAGATTAATCTAATAATTTGAGGGATACACGTTGATATTTTGTGTGCTATGTGATGTTTTGAAGTGTGGATCGGTACTGGTGTAGATAATTTGAAACTGTTGTGGACGATTGTTCTAATCACAAAAGTTTTAATATATCCAATATTAAGATTTTAATACGGTAAGTGTTAATGCGTAAGAATTATTAAATAAAATATACACTTAAGGTGCACAACATCCATAAAAATATTTATTGCGATTTTGGGGCAGATTGTGCATCAGCAGTGATGCTGGGAAAACACCACTCTGTTTTTGTTTTACTAAAAAATCGCATTGTGTGCATTTAGTACGTTCAAACAACTTTCTAATGAGGATAAAACTGTGATTCGATAAGTTTACAGGTATATGCATAGGAGTTTCAAAAGGTTGTTTGAATGTAGAGAATAACAAAAATTTCTGGATTTAAAACCACATACAATTCTTCATCCTTGCCAAACACGGTGGTTGTCTTTAGGGATCGCTATAAAACGAGTCAGAAAGCAATATTCTGCTCTAAAATTACCTTGTGGGTACGGAAACGTCTTTGTTCCTAAAATGTTTTTAAAACATTTCACGCCTTCCATATAACGTCTTAAGAACGTTTTATGTTCCAAAAACGTTTTTAGAACCTTTGACGTTTTTAAGCCGTTATGAAGCAAACATGAAACGTTCTAAAAAAGTTTTAGAAACGTCTCCAGAACAAAGACGTTTTCGTGCCCACAGGGTATACTTCACTTCGGAACATTTCAACAATGACTGCGATGACAAACCAGGTGCTACTGCAACTCATCGTTTACTAGAAAATCCAATCATTAGGCTTTACTTAGATTTTATAAATTTCATATTCTCACTCTTCACCGAATTGAATATGGACTTTCAATCCGAGAACAGTAAAAAATATCTGATTTATGAGAAAATTTCTCAAGTTTACAAAACATTATTAGACTGCTATATAAAAAGGTCGGGCATTAGCAGTATCTTTGGCTAAAAATTCAGATTTATTTAAAAAGCCTGCATTATAAGAATTCAGATACACTAATATATATATATATTAATTCTGAGTACCAAAAATTGATGGAATTAATGAAAATATTGGATCCTTCTTTTTTTTAAAGCAAATCGACCGCCATCAGTATCAGTTTTAGCAGCTATATTTCCTTCAATCATATGGCGTTTGTTGATAAATGATGAGTATATTAAAAATGAAAAATCAAATGTTTTCGATTATTTTTGGTATGGAAATCTGCAGGATGCAGGATCCGAGATTCAAATTAACCTCGTAGGTAGCACCACGTTTTATGGCGTTTAACATGGGCTAATTTTGAGTTTCAACAAAAATTACATAATACAGGTTTTTTATGTGTGGTGAAATGTTGCCTTTTTAGCTCAATAAAACATGTGCAAAACAACAGATTAATCCATGAACATCTTCTGTCGATAGCAGAAAATCAAACATTTTTATTTATTGACAAAACTTTTGAATGTCTTAAAGTGTCCCAAAACAAACAATCATTTCGTAGTAGTTTTTGCTGAATGTATTAAATTTGGTAAAATTCGCTCTGGAACATTTTCGTTTGCAGCACTTAACTCTATCATCTAAAATTTTTCTTGTTGATTTTGATCAAACTTAATTTCTCTAGATTCTAGTTACAAATCATCGCTACTAATATATTTTCTAACAGTGCAAAATAAGCGTTTACAGAAATACTACCATCCAAGGCACGAGAATACTTTGGAGGTATAAGTATTGATAACGCTTATTTAATTCAAACAGAAGTCTGAATACGTATTTAATAAAGGCCATACTTCTGATTTTAAACTACATTGGAACGTAAACCTAAGTAAAAACTCAAAAGATCTTTATAAGTTTTGCTGAGGGTTTCTATATTTAAAAGTACAATCGTAAGATTCTATTTTCGAGTGTTAACCAGCGAAAATATTTAAGATTACCAGGATTGCGACTGATAAAATCAGGTGAACAAGTATCATACACAACTACCCAAGAGATTTCCAGCAAATACTGCTTTTAATAGTGACGAAATGATAGACAGATTAACTCAGTCGGATAGATGCTTCGCTTGGCGGACGTTTTAGGACCAAGGGTAAGTACCCTTGGTTTGCGCCTAATTGGCTTGGTATTTTTTCGGCACGTAAGATAATCTGACGTCGAGGTATAGAGATGTGTATCGTCGATTATTGTCCGGTACACACCATTAGAACTCGACTGTTGATATTAAACCGGTTGTACTCAGGAGAGGTTTTCTACAGTCTCCCTCTCCACTGGCGAGAAAACCCATTAGACGGGTGGTTCAGGCAATTGCGAGTACTCCTAATTTTGAAGTTGTCCTGTAGGCGCAAAAATTTAGAATATGTAAGAAAATTTCCTCGGGAACACTTGTAAAAGCTAGTATTATGGCAAAAGACGAGTGTATAAATAAATAAAAAATAATTAGTGACGAAATTTTGCGTTTTTAGATTAATAAAACGTGAGATAAACTGCAGGATTATCCATCAATGTCTTCTGTCAATAGCGGAAAACAAAATTTTTTAATTTTTTGACTAACCAATAAAACTGTTTGTTGTTTTACCACTTTCCTCTTGAATCCCTTTTCTATCGCCTTCATTCAAAGCACTCGCTCCTTGGCAGTATAACGGGTGTCTTATTATTTTTGTTAATATTTGAGAATTTACTATTAATTTTATCACTCTACACGAGATTGTTTTATTTCAAGAATTTATTTTCATCGAATTTAGAAACAACAAATTACATAAAACGCACGTTACGCCAGAGATATTTTATGGAAAAATATTCAAACCTATTATTTAATTAAATTTACGCTAGCTCCATCTTTTCAAGGAGAGCGCGGGGTAAGAGAAATCACCAGTTAGTTTTGATTTTGTCTTTAATAAACAAGATAATTACTGTTCCAGACGAGACCTGTTTAAAATTACAGAAATGTCGTGAAACAAAGCAAAATGAAACACATGTTATTTTGATCGATGATTGTCAGGAGACAACACATTAAATTATCTTGAGACTCACCGGAGATACGCCGACGTCCCCGCATTGTTCCTCGGCTCATCATCAGGAAGTTTTACAATTGATTTCAATTTTTACTGATTTTAATTCGAAATGGTATATTGTGACCTGTCACTTGCTACGACGCCAAATTGAGAATGAATTAAATGGCCGACGGGGACGCCGAAGCAGACGCGCATCTCGGCTTCGTGGTGAGTCTCACGCGCACTCGTTACAAGGATTTTCAGATGGTAATCGATGCGCGACAGTAAGTAATTGGGTAATTTATCGACTGTCGGAAAGAGTTCATAAAAGTTCATTTAGTCTCCGCGAGGGGCACTGCGCTATGACGTCTGGTTCACAAGGTGGCTGCAGCCAGTGTTTTGACAGCTCATGTCCTCGTCGATGGATTTTCGTATTTCTGTCACTTCGTATGGCCGGTACTTATTTCAGTAATAAATACAAGGAAACACATTACTTGTTGGACAAATACGAAGTAATCTCTCGGCAGTGAACCCGAAGTTTGAAAATCAGGAACTCGCAGTGATAGTTTACATGAAATGATAAACCGAGTATCAATTTTCTTATAATCAATTAATTGTTTTGACCAGCGATCTGACGGATCGCTAAATTACAGGTTTAATATAATAAATTAAGTGAACGAAATATTACAAAAGTGGATAATTGAAAGTAAATTTTCTCGGAAGGAGAAAATAATCGTCGATTCTCGATTTGGCGTGAATAATGAAAAATTAAAAGTCGATTATTGACAAAGAATATTAATTAGTAGGCGGCAAATAAAATGCCGCGTTACAGTAGTTATGCTTGAAACTTGTCCATCTGATCTTATAGTCACAATCCTGGTAATATTAGCTATTCTCGCTGCTTAACACTCGCAAATAGAATCTTACGATTGTACTTTTGAATAATGAAACCCTCAACAAAATTTAAATATATTTTTTGAGTTTTTACTTATGTTTACGTTTCAATATGTACCCAATAATATGTATGCTTTCCTTCCGGTTTGGACAACTTTTTGAAAAGTGGTGTGCCTTCTATAAGAATGTTTAAAGTCTATGGCGTAGGGGAGACTGGGGCGAAAAGTTAAACTGCCAAAACCGTTAAAATTCATTATCTTTCGAACGAAAATGGTTAGAGCATTGTAATTTTAATTATAGAAGGGTGTTATCACCCTAAATAAATGTCCGGAGTTGTGTGCAATTCTGTTTATTTTTGTGGTGTCAATATTAAAAGTTTCTTTTCAACCTACTTTTGAAAATTTTTTCGAAAAAGAAAATATCAACTTTTAAGTATATTTTTTGCATTTTTTCTCACCGCGATTTTTTTACTTCATTATTTGGGTCCCCTGAAGAGATACCTACATGTATTTTCTAAATATCTTTAGTCAGATTTTTTATATTTGTTGTTAAAGCCAAAAGCGCACCCTGGGGCGAAAAGTTAAATAATGGGTGGGGCGAAAAGTTAAATGTATTTTTACATGTTGTTAAAAATTTTTTTTTTATTTTTCGTTTTTTGGGTTTATTTGTTTAAACATTATTTATTTGACATTTGGCAAGTACTCTGTCAAAAAATAAGCCGGTTCACGTGAAATAAACCAAAAAATTTTTTTTTTTTTGAAATTTTAATTTTTTAACATTA